ACAAGTCTCAGAGAGGGCCTGTCGACCCTGAAAGGGTTAAAATTTCCCTAAAATGGGACACAACATTGTCATTGTAGATGCTGCCAGCACAGCCTGCAACAGCTGTGTCAGGGTGATGTTCATCCATAAATGTCTGCACATAAGAAAGTAGGTACACTGTAGCAGGCCTGATGGCCCATACTAGGCAGGTCCTTCACAAACCATCCCACTAACAGAATCGTATTTGCCCAACCCAATTTTCAATGCTTCCCAAGCAATAAGATTTGATAATTCTATTCATTCATGCTCAAGTCCCACTCAAATCAAATCATGTGTGTGGGGAAGTACCCTGGCTGGTATGTGGGGAAATACCCTGGCTGGTATGCAGGGAAGTACCCTGGCTGGTATGTTGGGAAGTACCCTGGCTGGTATGTTGGGAAGTACCCTGGCTGGTATGTTGGGAAGTACCCTGGCTGGTGTGTGGGGAAGTACCCTGGCTGGTGTGTGGGGAAGTACCCTGGCTGATGTATGGGGAAGTACCCTGGCTGGTATGTGGGGAAGCACCCTGTGGAAGCACCACCACTTTCATATCTTTCTACCAACTTTTTCTTGAATTCTATAGTGTTTCTCACCCTCTTTACCAAAGGGTTGGCACTAGAAGCTTTCTTTGGCCCCATTTGGTTTATTTAGCAGTTACAAGCACTAAAAACAATGGAATACAAAATGTATCGCATGTACACGTGGAATCGTCCTAACTGGCTTGTAAACAATGGCACACTCGCTGTACATGGAGTGGCCGGGCTGCTCAGGCCACGTGGACACATTCGGAACAAATGACTTTAACCAAGTTCTTTGTCATTAACTGAGCCAATATTTTGATGCAACACCGTGTCGTTATCCGATTTTTACATTATCCGATGACGCCGTTAAGCGAGGGTCCACTGTATATAAAAGCAAGAGTAAATTATTTATTAAATAATTATTTTTTTAATTAAATAATTATATAAAACAAAGCTCTTTCTTTTTGGGTCACCCTGCCTCGGTGAAAGACTCCCGACGTGTTAAAAAAAAAAATTACCCTGATGCTGACTTTTAGCCACAACTCAGTACCCAAAGCTAAAAAAAATGCTAGCTTATTATTTGCTTTTGTGCCACAGTTGCTGATGTATTTGTAACATGTAAGCTTGTAAAAGTAAGTAAAATGGAAGAAAAAACAATAGAGGATGTGTTCACAATTTAAATAGCAAATGACTAAATGATAAAGCTGTAATTATGAAGTGGTAATAGTTGTGCTATTTACCAGGAGCTTTGACAGTGTAGGTCACTCACCATTCATAGCAATAAAATATATACAACACAATAAAAACAAATTCAAAATTAACAAACAAAAAAAAACTATGAATGTGAATAAAATTGCAATTATGTGAATATTTATTGTGTTATTGTTCTTTCATCATCAGTAAAACCTCTCATTTACAGACTAATAGGGAAGGAGTGTACAATAATGCCAATTATCTGCAACTCCCAAATTGTCAAATTAATATTTCAGCATCTACACTCCGAAGGAGGGGTGTTAATGTTGCAGTTTTATAACTGTAGTGTAGAGCACCCCTCTGGCAAGACAGTGATGGTGTGAATGATGATGAAAATTTTTCTTTTACGGGCCACCCTGCCTTGGTGGGAATTGGCTGATGTGTTAATAAAAAATAAAAAAAATAATATTTCATGATCATCTAGTTGTCTTCTGAAGTAGTGGAATTGGTCTGCTGATGCAAAAGACAACCAGACACTAAGAATACAGGAACTGCAACCTGTAGTACTAGTGCAGTATTGTACTGTATAGTAATTTTATAGTAACCAACCTAATTTACAGTAATTTTACATAACTTTTTATGGTGGAGAGATGAAGTGTAAACTGATGTGATCAATGGTGATCACTCAGAATAACCTTTATTCTAAGTTAAGAGGAGCTGTGAAATTCTACTAGTGGAAATAATGTAGATGGGTGAGAAGACATAAATTGTAAATACCTGTACAACAGAGATGCCAAATTCAACCTTCTTTATTAATTCAAGTTTCTACCTAGCACTAAGAGCTACACATTTTTTCTTGACACCACCACCATTTGCTTTAGAAACTGTTGCTAACTGCACCTTACTTAATATGTTAACAAAGCCACACAAAATGCTCTAAATCCAGGGAAAATTAGACTGAATGAGGAGTGCATGCACTAGCTACCACAAACAAACTGGCAAGGGTGGCCTATGGCTCAGGGAACAATGAAAACAGACAGATCCTGGACGTGGTCACCTAGACCCATACCCAACAAACGCTGGAGTTAGCAGACTTGGCTTGATACTTCAGAAGACTACCACACTATCGTCATGGACAAATGCAGAATTAAGGGCTTTTGTCCATTTTGTCAGATAATTAAGAGCATTTATCCAACTATTTTTTGTCCAAAATTGCCGAAATATGTGTACAAGAGGTTGTGTACATATATGTCCAGCTTTTTACTTGCAGAAAGAGAGGTACTTGTCAGAAGGTCGAAGATATTCAGGATCTTCCATAGTACTCTAGGAACTCATACCATACATTAGTAAAACATCCACAATAGTATTTCACCCATTTCATAAATTAGGTGTTGTGTTCTGGATATGTTCTGGATAAATTAAACAAAATAATTTTAAGTATTTCCTTCTGCTTTAGTCTTGTTTACTACTGCATCTCATGCAGTCTTTTATGTATAATTCTGTCTTTTAATAGGTGCCTCATATTGGTCATGTCTGCATTCAACAATGAGCTTTGTTCATTTTTTTCAAAAGCCTATTTCTTTTTTTTCCCAAATGAACATGTTTTGGTGAACTTTATTATCAAATTTAGTAAATATTTCTTAGCATTTTCCCCTTGTTGATGCATATTTTATTAAGATGTTGCATCCTTCAGCACAATTCACAAATTTTTAACTCTGAGAGTCCAAGCCTTAGATCTACATCATAAGCTCAACTCACTCAGATAAGCTGTGAGCAGTAAATTTGGGCCTAGATATGAGAGAATGCATCTATGTGGCAAGTGTTCACCATATAAAACAAATCTTGCAGTAAGCAGTACGCAGTCCATAATAAGAAAATAAAATGCGACCGTATTTTTTGGATTAAAACACCGACTTTGCGGTGTATTTAATATGGTTTTTATGGTTGTATTCGCGGTTTCTTGGTTTCATTTGATAGAATGGAAGATATATTACAGAAACAGAGATTATTTTGATTGGTTTTGCACTGAAAATAGCTTGAAACTGAGCTCAAAGAAGTGGAAATGTTCAATTTTTGCCAATGTTCAAGAGTAAACAATTGGCATCATGTGTCCAATACAATTATCACAATATTGCATAACAGTAAACCTTCTATATTTTTGGTGTGAATAAAAATTCTCTATGTAAATAAAAAATCAAAATGGAATTCATCTGTAAATCCTGGAAACATAACTAATAAACAAAGGAAATGTTATTTTAGTGCCAGGAATGCCTGCATTGTTTATTCTGGATCCTATTTTGAAATTGGAATATTTTGAACTTTGTGTGAAGTTGGCCAAATTACCAATTTCTGATCACTTTACTGGGTAGTTGAAATAGTTGAATGGGCAGTTTCTTGTCCTCAATCGATAAAATAGTATTTATTATTATTTTTTTTTTTATTATCACACTGGACGATTCCCACCAAGGCAGGGTGGCACGAAAAAGAAAAACTTTCACCATCATTCACTCCATCACTGTCTTGCCAGAAGGGTGCTTTACACTACAGTTTTTAAACTGCAACATTAACACCCCTCCTTCAGAGTGCAGGCATTGTACTTCCCATCTCCAGGACTCAAGTCCGGCCTGCCGGTTTCCCTGAACCCCTTCATAAATGTTACTTTGCTCACACTCCAACAGCACGTCAAGTATTAAAAACCATTCGTCTCCATTCACTCCTATCAAACACGCTCACGCACGCCTGCTGGAAGTCCAAGCCCCTCGCACACAAAACCTCCTTTACCCCCTCTCTCCAACCTTTCCTAGGCTGACCCCTACCCCACCTTCCTTCCACTACAGACTGATACACTCTTGAAGTCATTCTGTTTCGCTCCATTCTCTCTACATGTCCGAACCACCTCAACAACCCTTCCTCAGCCCTCTGGACAACAGTTTTGGTAATCCCGCACCTCCTCCTAACTTCCAAACTACGAATTCTCTGCATTATATTCACACCACACATTGCCCTCAGACATGACATCTCCACTGCCTCCAGCCTTCTCCTCACTGGTAATACTAGCAAAATAGCTAAGAATTTGGTCAACTGGAATAATGTAATTGGCCTCAAAATAGGAGTCAAAGTGGGTAAAATCGCCGATGCGTAAATATCGCAGATGCAGTAAAATTCACAAGTGTAATTTTGTCAATTTTCCATCAAATTTCATGCTTTTTGTTTTATTACCTTCATAAAAAGATTCTCTACCATGTCATAAGAAAATAAAAATTTTTTTTTTTTGAAAATTCTTGGACCCTAAGATAAGCAATATCAAGTTTTGCCATTTAAACTTGACATACATTATTTTAATTATGATTCTAGAAACCATAAATGCTTAAAGCAAGATGGAATATTGATTTCAGAAAAAAAATCTATTATGGGATTAGATTTATTAAAATGCATACATAAACACAAGTTTTAAAACTCATACTAATAGAGAGAGAGAAAACTTAAGTGTGTTTGAATGGCATGAAAAAAAAAAAAAAGGGAGGATTATGCTAGAAAATTATATATATATATATATATATATATATATATATATATATATATATATATATATATATAATTTTTTTTTTTTTTCAACAAGTCGGTCGTCTCCCACCGAGGGTGCTTTACACTTCAGTTTTTAAACTGCAACATTAACACCCCTCCTTATATAAGAATATAAGAATTAGACAAAACAGGAGTTGGGAATTTTTCAAAGAGTAGCAGTCTTTGTGTTAAATTTCTCCATACCATCATCATCTGCTTCTCCTCCAGCATCATCTTCCTCTTCATCTTCCACTTCTTCTCCCACCTCTGCAGCCATGGAATCAGCCTCAGTAAAGTTCTCCTCAGAGTCTTTAGAATTCTCTTCATTGGACTGCTCTGCTCCCGTTACCATGATTGTTGGTGTTTCACGGTGCATAGTCTCTCCTTCACTGGTGCTCACACCACCTTCTGCGCCCAAGTCAGCTAGAATAAAAACCAGGAGCCTTACAAAATACAGCAAAAAAAAAAAAAAAAAAAAAAATCTTAATTTCTCAGGATTTTTAACTTCTGTAAGCTTTTTTTTTGGCCTTGCATAGTTGAACTACCATGCTGTAAAAAAAAGGTGGTGCACAGCTCCATCCATTTAGCAGCCCTTCAGTCAAGCCAAGTTGAACAAATTCTATTTTGTCTGCAGACTGGTAATTCAGCCAATACCTAACAAATTCTTTACAACTGTATAAGGGTTATAAAGGAAGGGTTAGACTGATTGTGGTGTGGGGGTTTATATGGGAGGGATTAAGCAGGCCAGGCTAGACTGACTAACGTTTGTAGGTTTGGTGTTTCGGTGTGGAGGTAGAGACTGGGAGACTGCTGGCATGGGACGTGGAAACCAAGCAGTGTAGGGGTAGGGGCAGGAACTGGAGACTGGCATTGGGAGGTGGAGAATGCTGGGACCTGGGGGGAAAGGGCTGGAGACCGAAAACAATGAGGCAGTGTGATGGTGAGTGTAGGTGGCAGTGCTGGTGACCCAGTGTGAGTGGTGGTGTGGATAATGGGTGATTGGGTGAATGAGTGTGTGATAATGAGGGTGGCAAGTGGCTACATGACTAGGTATGTGGACAGCACGTTATGGCATGTGACCCACAAAAACATGATGTGGATGTGGGGCTGTGGTGGGGCAGTGTGGGCTCGAGGCTGTGGGAGTGGGGCCTGAAGCTGTAGGGGAAAGTGGTGTGGGTGAAAGGTTTGGTTGTATCAGTGGCCAAGTGTGGGTGGTGGTAAGGGTGACTGGGTGGATGTGTGTACTTGGTGGTGGGTGACTAGGTGTGTGTGGACTGTGAAAGCATGGGTAAGGGGTGGGTGTAGGGGCTGTAGGAATGGGGTTGTGTGGGCTTGAGGCTGTTGGGAAGTGCTGTGGGTGCAAGGTGTAGGTGGAGGCCATGTGGATTTAAAGCTGTATGGGAGTGGTGTGGGTGAAAGGTGACTTGGTGGGCAAGTGTGCAGTTAGTTGTATGAAAAGTAATGAGGATGCTGAGTGGCTATGTGACTAGATGTGGACACCGGGCTGTGGGATTGTGGCTGTGTGGGCTTGAAGTTGTGGGAAAGTGGTGTGGGTAGAGGTTGCTGGGGGTGCAGCAGGTAACTGATGGAGACAAGTGGTATGACACTAGGTAGTCAGTTGGTAGACAGCAACCACCCAGTGAGGTACTACTATCCTGCCAAGCAAGTGTGAAACGGAAACCTGTAATTGTTTTACATGATGGAAGGATCGGTGGTGTCTTTTTTGTTTGATAAATATGCAGGATACCAGGTATATCTTGCCACTTCTACTTACACTTCGGTCACACTACACATGCATGTACATGCATATATATTTACACACCCATCTGGGTTTTCTTCTATGAATACAGCTATAGAAAGGGAGGAGAGTGATTTCTTGTATGAAAATAACTAATTTTACCTCTCCCCTAGTATATCTTCTTTTACTGTAACTGCTTTTACATAGTAAAGATACTTACCTGCTATTAACTTTTAAATATAAATAAGTATTATCACAAGGACCCCACTGGAAATAAGTCACTCTTGACTTTTTTTGGGTTATCCTAGCCTCTCTACACATATGCTGCTATGTATGATAACCAATATAACTGTGTATACCTGAATAAACTTATTTAATAGTTCTTGTTCTTCTTTATTTCCTCTTATCTCCATGGGGAAGCGGAAAAGAATTCTTTCTTCCTAAGCCATGCGTGTTGTAAAAGACAACTAAAATTCCAGGAGCAAGAGGCTAGTAACCCTTTCTCTTGTATACATTACTAAATTTAAAAAGAGAAACTTTTGTTTTTCTTTTTATGTCACCTTGCCTCGATGGGATATGGCCAGTTTGATGAAAAAAAAAAATGTACCCTGCCATGGAAACTGATTAATGCTGAATGTTCAAAAAATAAGTGCCACAATTTTGTAATCATGTTAACAAGAAAACACGCTAACAGATCATGTGTTAACTGACAGTCTACTGTACATCTTTTTTTCCACCAATGATAGTCAAGGAATACCAAAGTAGTTAGTGTGAGGAAAGTGTTACCTGTTGGGGATCTGTGTAGAGGTGTGCTTGGCTGTGATCTATTGCCTTCATCCAACTGTCCAAGGTCTATTCGAGTATCGTCAATAAGGCCACCCTCAGCCATTTGGGCCAAACCACCTGAAAATGAAACAATTTTAAAGACTTGATAATTTAAATGGTCTTTTAGGTAAAACATTTTCATTATAACTCAACCAATATTGCAAAAAAAGTTGAACAGTTACAAAGTAAGTTCATTTGTGCTTGTAACCTTCCTAGTATCTCACTTGTAACATATTTCTAGCCAAGTCAACATGCTTACTTGTCTGTGGTGGGTTTGATAATTCAGCATTGGATCCAAACACAAATCCACCAGAGGGAACCTGTGGGGAACTAACAGCTTCTGAGAAGCCATCTCCACGCCTGGGAACAAACAGAGTAGGTGTTGACGGCACTATACTGTCATCCCCTCCTTCTTCATACTGGGGTAGCTGATTGAAGGGAGCCAAGGTTTGACGGCCAACTGAACTCGGCCGTTCCTGTCGGTTTACAGATCGTGGAAGTGCCAGGGGCGTCCGTGGACTTGTTTGTGCGGGACCATCAACGCCCCGACTAGAGGAAGATGGTTGACTTGGTCCTGCAGATGGTTGAGGTCGCTCACTTTCACTTGGCGCTTCTTGTGATTCACCATGAGAATCTTCAGCCTCAGCAGACACTTGAGAAGCAGCTTCAGCCTCAGCTTCAGCATTACCTAAATCTTCTTCAGCTTCTCTTGTATTTTGACCTGCCTCTGTGTCAAGACCCTGACTGCATTCTCTGGTTTCATCATGCTCCATTGCATCCTCATCCTCATCATCAGTATCAATAGCATGAATGCTTTGATCTTGATCCTCCTCATCCATCTGTTCATCTTCTTCATCTTCATCTTCCTCCTCCTCTTCTTCCTCCTCCTCCTCCTCCTCCTCATCATCATCATCTTCACCCTGGTCGGCATACTCATGTTCATCATCTGACTCTAAAATAACAACATCATCTTCATTATCAGGAGTTTGACTGGCATCGTCATTTTCTTGCTCTGCATGAGATGACGATGGTCCAGCTTCTTCAGCAGACAGAAGAGGATCTTCGTCCAAACAACATCGTTTTGCATCTTTAGTATTAGTGACTGCTTCTGCAGACTCTAGCTTTCTTTTCTGTGAGCTTATACCTGAAGGTCCAGCTATTTCTTGAGAGCTAAGTGGGCTTACAAGAGCAATGGCTTGAGATACCAAAGCATCAGCGGACACTTCCTGTGACTCCTGTTGTCTTATAAGCGGTGTTGAAATGATCGGTGCCTTAGATGAAGCTACTGCAGTGGCTCCAGTTACACCAGCAGTTACAGAAACAATTGGAGCAACAACAGATGTACTAGCTATTGAGGTTTGTGGCACTGATGTTGACTGACTGGCCAAAGTGGACTGAGATGCTACAGTGGAGGAAGTAGCAGGGGCAGTTTGCAAGCCAGAGGCTTTTGTGGTTGGAACAGATGGTGCAGCTGCAGTAGACTGAGTAGCAGGGGTAGATTCAACTACTACTCCTGTAGAGGACTGGGAAGCAATAGATGACTGACTTGCTAGAGTAGACTGTGAGGCAGAAGACTGCGAAGATGACTGTGAAGCAGTAATTGATGAAATAGCAAGAGCTGGTGCCACTGGAGTGGTAAGAGAAGCAGAAGCTGGTGTAGGAGAAACAGTTGCAGTAAGAGTGGTAGTCATTGTGGTTGTAGCTGATGGTGTTGTAGTGGCAGTAGTAAGAAGTGTGGGAGCAGATATGGCTGGTGTGGGTGTCACTGTGGCCTGTGGTAGAGTTACAGTGGAGGACACCATGCCATCACTGTGAGTTTCCAATGGAGACACAACCATTACAGTAGAACCCTGAGTAGGGGCAGAACCTCCAGATGGTGGAGCCATTGGACGAATACTTGCAGTTGGAATAGCCCGGGATGGAGGAACCACTTGCGTAGTCTGTGATCGAGGTGAGGCTGAGGGAGCTACTGGAGCATTCATAGGTCTAATATTTGCAGTGGGCGGAGGTTCAAACCCACTCTTCTCAGAAGACACACCACTAGTGGATGGCTTGGAAACCTATAATGGATTAAAACCAACAAAATGAGATATTTTTAGCCACAGCACAAAAGTATTAATAACATTAAGGTACTTGCATATAAATAAGTTTTTTTTTTTAACACATCAGCTGTCCTCCACCAAGGTAAAGTGACCCAAAAAGGAAGAAACACTTTTATTGTTATTCATTCAGACACTGTCTTCCCAGAAGTGTGCTGACATTCCAACTCAGATGACCCTTGGAGCTGAAGCATCCCCACCCCTCTTTCAGAGTGCAAGCACTCTACTTCTCACCTCAAGGACTCAAGTCTAGCTAAATGGTTTCCCTGAATCCCTTCATAAATGTTACTTTGCTCACTCTCCAACAGCTCATCAAATCAGGAAAAAACCACTGGTCTCCACTTACTATCTAATACACTTGCACAAGCCTGTTCAATGTCCAAGGCTCTAGTACTCAAAGCCTTCCTTACCCCTTACTTCAATCCTTCCTGGGTTGGCCCTTACCCCTTCTTCCCTCCACCCTAGATTTATATGCCCTCCAAGTCATCCAATTTTGCTCCACCCTCTCTAAATGTTCAAGCCACCTCAACTCTCTCTCTCCTGCCCTCTGAATTATCATGTAGAGAATTCAGTCTGTAGAAATTAAAAGGCAATGTTAGGTGATCATGGGTATAATTCAGAGGACATAATTGTTGAGAATTGATGAAAATTTAAAGATTTCTTAAGTAATTTCACCTTTTAACAGATATTTTACCTCTTAGCCTTACCTAACACAATTTACATCTTTTACATATAATTTACAAGAGATGTACTTTGACAACCTCCCTTAGAATTTCATGGTCAATACAGTACTCCAACTGTACTTGTGGTGAAGGGATCAAGAGAAAAAATCTTTCATCTGTTTAGTACTTAATTATGACTTATAATTGCTTCCATGAAACATGACTTACAAGGAAAGGATTCCAACACATGTTCATCCTCTGCCCTCTACCCGCCTTCCCCTAAAACAAAGAAATAAAATTTACCCCAGCTGCCTGCTTCTGGAGGTTTTCCAGTTGTCTTTGCTGCATTTGTAGCTTCTTATTGAGAGACTCCACTTCACGGGATAACTGGTCACGCTCCTTCTCCAGCTGATTAATATCCTTCTCATACAATTGCTTCTTGGTTTGGCTTTCCTCTGGAATTAAACAAGCAAACATTGCATTAGCAACTTTTATTAAACACAGCTATTTTACACCAAAGCAGGTTGAGATAAACAATGAAAAGCATGCTTTTACTTATATCCTAGCCAATTTTTTTTCAAAAGTGAAGGACATCACAATTTAAATACACAAAATAAGAACATTTCCACATACCTTTCAAAGTTCAGGCACTCTATTTACCAACTCTAGGTCCAGTTAAATGATTTCCCATATCCCTTCACATATGTATTACCTGGCTAACACATTAATATGCCAAATTCTAAAAATCACTTTAATATTCCTATTTGTTTGCTAGATGCTCATGCCTCTACAAACTGTATACTCTATCTACTCCTTCCTGGAGCAATACTACTGACTAAAAGACTTTCCTGGCCAACCTATCTTGCTCCATCCTTTCTAAATGACCAAACCATCTTAACCTGTCTTCCACTCCTTGAATTATTCCTTCCATACTGTCACACCATCTTCCAATTTCTTGGTTCATTTTCTTCCCTGATAGTGAACATGTTTCCTTATTTTTGGGTCACACTACCCTTCTGGATGGGAAATGAAAAATATTAAAACAATCTCTGCTTAACATTCACATACCACACTAGTCTCAAACATCACTGCCCCAAGCCTCTTTGTCACTGCAACATTCAAGAACCTTGCCTCACACCCTTACAAAAATGTTGGCATCATTATACTATGATTCATTCCAAGTTTTGCATCCACTGATAAACCACTTTCTTTCCAAATAATAATCAAAACTCCATCACTTTCTTTCTATTTTATGATGTACTGTGCCTTGTCTTTCATAGATCCATCAGCCAACAAAGCCCCTTCCAAATACATATGTAAACACATTCTCTTGTTATACTCATTCCCTTCAATCTGATGTCCAATCTTCATGGTTAGATTTCCCACTCATCCCCTCACTCTTATTGATGCTAACATTAAACTACCTACTTTTACACACTCCTCTGTATAATTTTACAGTAAAGACTACTCCCACTTTGCCAGCCTCAATATCTTTTAACCCTTTCAGTGGCCATAACATAGAACTACAACAATGAGGCCAGGGTCCCTAATGTAGCTCTACATAATGAGTTCAGCTCACTCAGATAAGCTGTAAGTGGTAAATTTTGGCATAGATATGAGAGATTGGGTTTGCAAAGAGTGTGTGCCCATTATAAAAAAAAATCATGCCCCATGCAGTGCATGATTGGAAAAGCAAAACTGGCAGTGTGTGTGGTTTAAAGCAGCAAATTTGAGGTGTTTTCTAGTATGGTTTTTCTGACTTTATTGGCTGTTTCTTGGTATCATTTGGTTTCAGGACTGAAACTAGCTTGAAGCTGAGTTCAAGGTAGTGGAAAAAATAGATTTTTTGCCAGTTTTCCTGAGGACAGGTAATGCCCTCCTACACTAGTCTGTTTTGTTGATTTTTCATGGGTCTGTTTCAATTATTGGGATGCTGTAAATCATGACCAATCATTCCTAGTTATATTTTATTATCAAAGAAATAAAGTAAATCTTCTATTTTTGTGTGATTATGAATTCAAAACAGAAGGCAGATGTAATATAGGAGAGGCCTGGGGGATGTGATTAATGAACAGAGGAAATGTCTACATTGCTTATTTTGGACTATTTTTAAATTGGTATTTTTTTGTTTTGTTGAACCCTTTCAGGGTCCAAGGCCAAAATCTGAAGTGATGCCCCAGTGTCCAAGAATTTAAAAAAAAAAAAAATTTTTATTTTTTCTTATGAAATGGTAGAGAATCTTTTTGTGAATGTAATAAAACAAAAAGTACGAAATTTGATGGAAAACTGACGAAATTATGCTCTCGTGAATTTTGATGTGTCAGCGATATTTACGAATCGGCGATTTTGCCGACTTTGACTCCCATTTTAGGCCAATTACATTATTCCAGTCGACAAAATTCTAAGCTATTTCACTAGTATTACTTCTATTCTATCGATTGAGCACAAGAAATCGCCAAGTCAACTGTTTCAACTACAAAATAAAGTGACCTGAAATTGGTAATTTGGCCAATTTAACACAAAGTTCAAAATATTCCAATTTCAAAATAGGGTCCAGAATAAACAATGTAGGTATTCCTGGAACTAAACTAACATTAACTCTATTCATTAGTTACGTTTTGAGGCTTTACAAATAAATTCCGTTTTGATTTTTTATTCACAATGAATTTTTATTCACACCAAAAAATAGAAGATTTACTGTTATGCAATATTGTAATAATTGTATAAATATCATCACCACATTTGTGAATGTATATTAGACCCACCAGCTGGCGTGTATTAGACGTGTGAGGTCGTTTGTTTACTCTTGAACATCGGCAAAAATTTAACATTTCCGCCACTTTGAGCTCAGTTTCAAGCCATTTCCAGTGCTAACACCAATCAAAATTATCTCTATTTCTGTAATATGTCTTCCATTCTATCAAATGAGACCAAGAAATCACAAATACAACTATAAAAAACATACGAAAAAACACTGCAAAGTCGCTGTTTTAATCGAAAATCATGGTCTCAGTATTTTTCTCTCATTATACACAGTGTGCTGCAGGATTTGTTTTATGTGGTGTACACATACCACATAGATGTATTCTCTCATATCTAGGCCCAAATTTACCACTCACAGTTTATCAGAGTGAGCTGAGCTCATGACGTAGATCTACAGTTTGGACCCTGAACGTAAAGCCGTAGATCTACGGGACGGACCCTGAAAGGGTTAAAACTGACCAAATTACTAATTTTTGTGTACCTTAAAAGGGTAGTTGTAATAACTGAATGGGTGGATTTTTGTGCTCAATCAATAGACTGGGCCAACCTCATCAATTTCCCAGTCAACTCTTGCAGGGAATCACGATGAACAGAAATCTGAAGCAACGACAACAGTGCCTGGGCATGCGCAATAAGGCTCACAGACTGCTTGAATTTATATCAAGAAGTACTGTATAAGAACAGGAATACAAAGGTTGTTTTACAGCTCTACAAATCATTAGCATGGCCTCGCTTAATTTCTGGAACTCAGTTCTGGTGTCTATAATACAGAATGGATATACTGTAAATGTGTTGGGAAATATTACACAAATAACCCGCACATAGAAGAGAGGAGCTTATGGCGACATTTCAGTCCGACTTGGACCATTTATAAAGTCACAATGATATTAATGTTATTAACCCCATCAGGGTCCAAGGCCCAATTCTGAAGTGGTACCCCAGTGTCCAAGAATTTAAAAAAAAAAAACTTGTTATTTTTTCTTATGAAATGGTAGAGAATCTTTTTGTTAAGGTAATAAAACAAAAAGTATGAAATTTGATGGAAGATTAACGAAATTATGCTCTCGCGAATTTTGATGTGTCAGCGATATTTACGAAACGGCGATTTTGCCGACTTTGACTCCCATTTTAGGCCAATTACATTATTCCAGTCAACCAAATTCTTAGCTATTTCACTAGTATTACTTCTATTCTATCGATTGAGCACAAGAAATCGCCAAGTCAACTGTTTCAACTACAAATTAAGGTGATCAGAAATTGTTAATTTGGCCAATTTAACACAAAGTTCAAAATATTCCAATTTCAAAATAGGGTCCAGAATAAACAATGTAGGTATTCCTGGAACTAAACTAACATTTCCTCTGTTCATTAGTTACGTTTTGAGGCTTTACAAATAAATTTCATTTTGATTTTTTATTCACATAATGAATTTTTATTCACACCAAAAAATAGAAGATTTACTGTTATGCAATACTGTAATAATTGTATAAAAATCATCACCATATTTGTGAATGCATATTAGACCCACCAGCTGGCGTATATTAGACGTGTGAGGTCGTTTGTTTACTCTTGAATATAGGCAAAAATTTAACATTTCTGCTACTTTGAGCTCAGTTTCAAGCCATTTCCAGTGCTAAAACCAATCAAAATCATCTCTATTTCTGTAATGTCTTCCATTCTATCAAATGAGACCAAGAAATCGCAAATAGAACTATAAAAAACATACGAAAAAACACTGCAAAGTCGCTGTTTTAATCGAAAAATCATGATTTCAGTTTTTTTCTCTCATTATACACAGCCTGCTGCAGGATCTGTTTTATGTGGTGCACACATACCACATAGATGTATTCTCTCATATCTAGGCCCAAATGTACCACTCACAGTTTATCAGAGTGAGCTGAGCTCATGACGTAGATCTACGGTTTGGACCCTGAACGTAAAGCTGTAGATCTACGGGACGGACCCTCAAAGGGTTAAGATCTACATTCTTTAGTTTATATATAGCATGGTTATTTTCCTGTCCAACATTTAGAACTTTGCATTTGTCTATATTAACCCTTTGACTGTCGCAAGCCCCTTTCTGAAACTGTCATTGTATGTCGCAAAATTTTTGAGAAAAAAAAAAAATCTTATGAAATGATGGAGAATCTTTTCCCGATGGTAATGACACCAAAAGTATGAAATTTGATTGAAAACTCATGGAATTACGCTCCCACGAAGTTAGCAGTCTTGACGACATATACACATTGGCAATTTCGTCGACTTTGAGCCCTGTTTTTGGCCAACTCTATTGTTTCAGTTGACCAAACTCAGCTATTTCTTTAGAACTCCATTTTTTCTATCAGTCGAGTACAAGAAACTGCCCATTTACTGATTTGAACTACCCAATAAAGTGGTCAGAAATTGGCAATTTGGCCAATTTCATGCAAATTAAAAAAGATGCCAATTTCAAAATTATTTTTATTATTATTTTTTTATTATCACACTGGCTGATTCCCACCAAGGCAGGGTGGCCCGAAAAAGAAAAACTTTCACCATCATTCACTCCATCACTGTCTTGCCAGAAGGGTGCTTTAAACTACAGTTTTTAAACTGCAACATTAACACCCCTCCTTCAGAGTGCAGGACTCAAGTCCTAACTTCCAAACTACGAATTCTCTGCATTATATTCACACCACACATTGCTCTCAGA